TTGTATTTTTAGTAGAGACAGGGTTTCACAATGTTGGCCAGGTTGATCTTGAACTCCTGACCTCAGGTGATCCACCTGCCTCGGCCTCCCAAAGTGCTGGGGTTACAGGCATGAGCCACTGTGCCTGGCCCAGAGGCAAGTGTTTCAATGATTAGATGTCTGATGTATGTGATAAAGAGTTTATATCCAAAATTTATAAGGAGCTCAACTCAACAGCAGAAGAACAAATAGCCTGATTAAAAACGTGCAAAGGATCCAAATAGACATTTTTCCAAAGATGACATACTAATGGCCAACAGGTAAATGAAAAGGTGCTCAACATCACTAGTCATCAGGGAAATGCACATTGAAACCACAATGAGCTATCACCTCACACCTGTTAGAATGGCTATTATCAAAAAGACAAGCAATAATAAGTGTTAGTGAGGGTTTGGAGAAAAGGGAACTCTTGCACACTGTTGGTGGGAATGTAACTTGGTGCAGCCACTATAGAAACAATATGGAGATTTCCGCCAAAAATAAAAACAGAATTACCATATGATCTCACAATCTCACTTGTAGGCATATATCCAAAGGAAAGGAAATCAGTATCTCAAAAACTATCTGCACCTGCATGTTCATTGCAGCATTATTTACAATAGGCAAGATATAGGAACAACCGAAGGGTTCTTCGATGGATGAATGGATTAAGTAAACGTGGTATGTAATGGAACATTATTTAGCTATAAAAAAGTGACATCAATTGAAGCAGAGAGTAGAACGGTAGTTACCAGGGGCTGGAGAGTGGGGAAAATGGAGAGATGTTTACTGATGGGTACAAACTTTCAGTAAAAAGATGAATACATTCTGGGATGTAATAGACAGCATCATGAGTATAGCTAATAAAACTGCATTGTTTCCTTGAAATTTACAAAGAGAGTAGATCTCTCTTTGTCTTCACCACATACACACACATATGCACAATGGTAACTATACTGATTGATGTGCTAAATAATTTGTGATAATCATTTCACAACATAACATATATGACATTGTAGTACATTTTGAATACATACAATTTATATTTGTCAATTATATCTCAATAAAGTTGGGGAAAAAAGGAAAAAAAAACAGAGAAAATGAATGAAACCAAATTTTGGTGTTTGAAAAGATGACCAAAACTTAGAAACCTTTAGCTAGACTGACCAATTAAAAGAAAAACAGAAGGCTGAAATGACTAAAATCAGAATAAAAGAAGACACATTACCACCAACCTATATAGAAATAAAAAGTATTATAAGGGAATAGTATGAACAATTGTATGCAAACAAATTAGATACACTAGATAACATTGACAAATTCCTAGAAACACAGGACAGACCCAAGAAAAAATAGAAAATCTATATAGACTTGGAACACGTAAAGATGTTGAGCTAATAATAAAAATTTTCCCACAAAAATAGCCTCTCACAACCAGACAGCTTCAATAATGAATTCTACCAAGTATTTAAACAAAAATCAACTCCTATCCTTCTCAAACTCTTCTAAACAGTAGAAAAGAAGGAGCACTTCCTAACACATTTTTTGGAGGGTGCTGTCCGGCAAACACTGGAAGGCCTGCTAGACAAATTCTAAAAGAGCTGTAACACTCCTAACACATTTTTATGAGGTAAGTATTATCCTGAAACTAAACCCATATGCATCACAAAAATAAAGCCTATGACCAATCGGCTTTATGATTATTAAAGCGAAACACTAAACCAATCATAATACTAGCAAAATGAATCTAGTAACATATAAAGAGAATTATATAATATTATGGTGACAAGTGGGATTTATCCCGGGAATGTAAGGTTGATTTAAACACTCAACAAACTAGGAATAGAAGTGAAATTCCTCAACCCGATAAAGAGCATGTATGAAAAACTCATAGCTCACATCACACTCAACAGTGAAAGACTGGAAGCTTTTCCACATGAATCAGTAGTAACACAAGGATATCTGCTCTCAATACTTCTATTCAACATTGTCCTGAAAGTTCTAATGAGAGCAATTACTCAAGAAAAATAAAAGTGATTCAAATTACAAAAAGTAAAACTATCTTTGCAGATGCCTTTTTTTTTTTTGAGATAGAGTCTCACATTGTCACCCAGGCTGGAGTGGCATGATCTTGGCTCACTGTGACCTAGACCTCTCTGGCTCAAGCCATCTTCCTACCTCAGCCTCCCAAGTAGCTGGAACCACAGGCGCTCACCACCATGTCAGGCTAATTTTTGTATTTTTAGTACAGATGGGGTTTCACCATGCTGGACAGGCTGGAACTCCTGGCCTCAGGTGACCCGCTCACTGTGGCCTCCCAAAGTGCTGAGATTACAGGCATGAGCCACTGAGCCCTAATGACATAATCTTATTTATAGAAAATCTTTTTTAAAAAATTAAGGCTAATAGGCAGGGGGCGGTGAATTATGCCTGCAAACCCAGCACTTTGGGAGGCCAAGGTGGGTGGATCACTTGCGGTAAAAAGTTTGAGATCCTCCTGGCCAACATGACTAAACCCCGTCTCTACAAAAAATACAAAAATTAGCCAGGCATGGTGGCTGGCGCCTGTAATCCCAGCTACTCAGGAGGCTAAGGCAGGAGAATTGCTTGAAGCCAGGAGGTGGAGGTTGCAGTGAGTGGAGATCATGCCATTGCACTTTAGCCTGGGCAACAGAGCAAGACTCCATTTCAAAAAAAGAAAAAAATATATTTAGGGCTAATGAATTTAGGGCTTAAATGAATTAAGCAAAGATGTAGGATACAAGACCAACATTAAAAAATCATCATTTATATTTATAAACACTAAAAATGAACAATCTGGAAAGTTAGTATTTAAAAATTATAAAGAAGTCACACGTGGGTGGAGCTCAGTGGCTCACATCCATAATCCCAGCATTTTGGGAGGCCGAGGCATTCCGATTACTTGATGTCAGGAGTCAAGACCAGCCAGGCAAACATGGCAAAACCTTGTATCTACTACAACAAACAAACAAAAAAGCAATGTGTGGTGGCCTGTGCTTGTAGTCCCAGGTACTCAGGAGGCTGAGGCGGGAGAATCGCTTGAACTCAGGAGGTGGAGGTCACAGTGAGCAGAGATCGTGTCACTGTGCTCCAGCTTGGGTGAGGAAAGAAAAAAAGAGAGAAGGAGAGAGAGAGA